TACTGTCAACATTAAATAATGAATTTCCTGAAAAAATTCAAAAACTATCTTTCAGGATGTATTCATTTGTGGCGAATGTTTTCAAAAAATCAACTAAAAACCAACCAAATATTCGATACTGTTGGTCTTTTGGACCAACCTTCTTTATGAGCTTTTGGTAAACCATGAAATATACCGTGATGACTTCCTCGTGGTCTAATATTCAAGTACAGTTTTTCATCAAGAATGCCCCCCCCCAGTCGCACAGCGGTATGTCTGAGGACTTACAACGCTAGAATCCGGGTTTCGATACTCGTGGTGGGCAGTGCACAGATAGCCTATTGTGTAGCTTTGTGCTTAATTACAAACAAACAAATTCATCAAGAATATTGTCTTTCTTTAATTTTAGTGAAATCTTTTGAAACTTAACTTCCCTTTTATCAGTAGGATCTTGACGCAATTTCACAAATTTGGGGAAATTATTTCTTCGATTTTTTTATATATATATATAATCATCTTTATCTGAAATTACAATATTATTACCCCTGTCTGACTTAGAAATAACAATTCTTTAATTTTTACTTAAATTCTTGCGAGTTTTAAATTATTTTACCCTGATTATAAAAATATTTGTAATCGTTATTAAAATTCTTAAAACCAGTCAAAGCTATACCCCTAACTTGAGTTCTGATATAATTAAAACATTGATCAGAGTTATTCCAAATGGTTTGATGTGATAATGTTTCCAAAAACTGTTCAAATTGAGTAAAATAATCTTCAAACTTATTCTTTTTTAAGAATATTAAATCTTAAACCCTGAACTACCACTTTTTTCTCTATTGTTAACAACGTATTTAAAAAATTAAATTACATCTTCGGGTTTTTACAAAAAAGAATTATGAGTTAACTGTCGCCTTAAAGTGTTTAGATTAACCAATTATGATTTTCTCTCACCTGTATCAAATCTTACTATTCCGTGTTTCGATAAAATGTTTAAAATATATAAAATCCAAATATCCCATTTTACTTTCAAATATTTTTAATGCCTGTATAGTGTGTCTTGTAACCAACTGAAATTTTTTGTTTAATTTCAAAATTAAGTTATTCAGTTTGAGTTTTAGGATATTGTTTTAAATAGCTAAACTGAGGGGCGGAAACTTTTAAATTTAAGGAAACAACGAATTACTTTTAAACTTCTACATTCATTCAAGAAATATAGATTTAGTTATAAACTTTAAAACTAAATGTACTATCACCCACATAACATTGAGTTTACATGATATTAACCGAAACCTAAAATTGCTACACAATATAAGATAAAAACTATATATATCACACAAAACTCCACCGCTGTAGAACGAAACAAACACAAATGTAAAAACTAAAACTTCCTACTTCCATTGACCATAAGCTATGACGGTATCGCTATGGGCTCGAGACTTGCGCCAAATTTAGCCAACTTTTTTTTCATGAAAAACAATAGCTAGAAAATTGCCCGCAACTGTTCAAAGCGAAATGATATGTTGACGAAACTTTCACCATTTTTAAGACTGCTCAGCTTTCCCAATTTCTTCAATAATAGTAGATATAACAACATAAAGTTTACTGTGAAACATCAATAGGACCATAAACTTTCTATTTTTTGGGCACCCTAATTAGTAACAGTAATGAAGAATTTCAATGTGAAATTTACCAAAAAAAAAAAACATTCACGGGCTTACATTTTAATTTTGAAAGCTTTATTTCGAATGCTTTCAAAGAAAATTTAATTAAGATACTATTTATAAAGTATGTAATATGTACGAATTATGCTCAAAGAATTTATTAGCAAATATTATTTATGCAAAAATAAGTTCCCATGATCTGTGATTGGCAGAATATCTCGTATTTATTTAAATAAGCGAAGTGTTTATACAAAAAATCGAACTGCTGTGTTTAAGTACCCTCTAGTTGTCAGTTCACCATTTCTATGTATATATATATTCTTTAGTTATTAAGAATAAATTAAAACGTGTTATTGGAAGGTTATACCTACATATACAACTAAAGTGTGTGTTTAAACCTACTTTCGTCCTTTAACAAATCTTTGGTGGTTACGGCGCTCGACTCGCAATCTGCGGGTCACGGGTTCGAATCCCCGTCACACCAAACATGCTTGCCCTTTCAGCCGTGGTGGCGTTATAATGTGACGATCAATCTCACTATTCATTGGTAAAAGAGTAGCCCAAGAGTTGGTGATGGATGGGGATGACTAGCTGTCTTCCCTCTAGTCTTACACTGCTAAATTAGGGACGGCTAGCGCAGATAGCCCTCGTGTAGCTTTGCGCAAAATCCATAACAAACAAACAAATCTTTACCCCTGTAAAACGTTTATACTGTTAAACACTTTAATGTGATACGGAAAAGCTGATCTTAATGAGTACGACAAGTTTGATACAAAAATCAAAGAAATATTTTACTCGTATGTCACGGAATAAAGCATTTGCTCGAATTCAGAATTGAACCCAAAAGGGATTTTAGAAATTCTCGCTGTCCTAATTTCTCCCAGTTTTCACAATATTATACAAGAACATTTTGAGATATAACAATACGTGATTAACAGTTTGCTCCAAAAGTAACCAATAAATAAACGAAAAAAATTAAATATTACATACTTTGTTTTAGTGGTTTTTTACATTTAACTATTAAATGAATTGAGATGGAAAAAAATGTCAAAATAAAATTACATCGCTAGTCATACGTTATAATTACTTAACCACCATGCAATCTTAAAGAAGATTCGCAGAGTTGATATATCGTGCAAACAGTTTTGTTTATAACACACATTATCAATGCAGATCCTGTTTTATTTTATTTCAACGTCACTGGATAGATTTGTTGCAAATCAATCAAATAATCTCATACTTATCATGTCTCATAATAGCCTTATTGACTCAAAATATCCCCCTTCATTTACAGGACATGCACGTGTTCTAAAATATCTCTAAACGAAAATAGTAACAGCTGCGAATCAGTGAGCACAGTTTTTGTCTCTGTACAATTGAAATAATATTTTTATGTTATATTCATATAAATGTTTCTTAGATTCCGTAATATATCGTATCTTTTTTTATTGAGACACCAAGTTTCGACTTTTTTAAACCAAAGCTTTATTCAATGCTGATTTGTGAAATGGGGAGTTAACTTTTAAGGTTTATGCATGGTATTTCAGATCAACTTTATTTTTTAAAACCCCAAGTTTCAATTATTTAAACTCCAAATGTGTTTGATAAATGTTTGTTTCCTTTGTAACATTGAATTTTTAAAATTCGGAGTTATATCACTAATTCATAAATTTTAATTTCTAATTTATTACAAATATTAGATTAACTGTACTTTTATTTAGCGGTATAACTACAAACATATACACAGAAATCCAGAAAATATTTGTAATTATGAAATTCGAAATGACAGGATTTCCACAGTTATCACATAAGTGAATTAATGAATATATAACTATAGATAATAAAAACAATGCTGAAAATATTACAGAAACTTGTACTTCAAGTAGGCAAAAAGATAGACATGTTACATTTATCTCTTTATAAAAAATCCTTGTACTATGATAGTAAAACAGGATGGTTTTTGTTAATCAATGTAGGTGTATCACACTTTCGACGCATAATAGGTATAAATTACAGTAATGAATAAATACTTTTTAAAATGACGTTCTACCACAAGTGAGTCTTGATTCTCAGTGTAGCTTCAGAAATTTTGTTTAAAATGTGATTAATGTAAAAGTAACAGAGTTAAGATTGAAATTCCACAATGCCACTTTTTGCAACGTTAATTGTAACTTGTTGCAATGTTAACTAAGATGTAGCGACTACCATTCTCGTCACCCCCACAAGCTTCTTTTTGACCTAACTTACTCTCTCTGGCCACAATACATATTTTGCATTGCAACTCCACTCGAGTGGTATAGGTGAAAAACACAACCACTTGCCTTAGTCCCGCACACCCGCGCGTGACAGCCAGGTTTCGCGCTTACACACCAAAACACATGTGTGTTATTATGCGGACCCAAGTGACTTATCGAACGCCATTTACTGCCTACTGATATAGTTGTGGGCACGCTATCACTCGAGGGGCTGTTTCGCCTTTGTGTTGCCGTCCATTATAGATCATCCACGGGCCGGGCATGGATTCCCGCTAGCTTCGTGCTTTCCACCTTGCACGGCACAGGAAATCCTTTCCTGCCAAATCAATAACTCCTGAGCACAAAGACACGCTAGGAAACACGAAACCTCTTAGCCGCCAGGGAAACAATCACCATGGAGAAGACGAAGGAGGAGGTGGGGGTAAGGGGAACGAAAGAGATTGCATTAAGGTGGATTGAGCTCCTACCTGACGTATCACATGACATCCTAAAACAGCATTAACTTGTCTTTTGTTGTTCATACTGGTTTTTTGTTGTTGTTGTTGCTATTTTCCGCGATTGACATCGTACACACAACGCCCCCAGGCGGCAATAATTGTGAAAAGAAAGTTACTAAGTGTTGTAATATGATTAACTTATTCCAGTTTGGGACGTACATTATGTCATTACTATTTATGTGCAAATTAGACCTGTGTATGATATTTTAACTTTAAGTTAGGAAACGTACTTTCCAAATCAGTGTAAATTCAAGTTTTTAGAGAAAAGAGAATAAAATGTAATATAAAAAGCTACTTTGAGACTGACTCTTCCACCGTAATACTAGTGATAAACCTATTTTGTATAAAGCTTGAGGAATTGCCTGCCGTGTTTGGTCGTCAAGACATAAACTTAATGGAAATGGAGGACCCAGACAACTTAGATTACAGGCTGGTGGCAGCCTGGCGTGCGCGGGCGGGGCACGAGGGACTGTGTGAAGGTTCGATAGCACGAGGGCGCGTGCAGGTCTCTGAGTGGCTGACGGTCCTGGTTGTGACGTTACCGCACTAACTGGAGGCGAAGCATTTGAAGGTGATCGCCGTGTAGCGGTAGCCCGAGCTTTCGATATCCCAGCAGAAACAGCGTGGGCCCAGCACTGATTATTTGATGGCCCGTGTAACTAGCTAGTTTCTAAGCAAGAGTTTCCTCAAGAGACACCTACAGTCTTACTAAGGTCGTGATAATTGTTCTTTCGGACGTGAATAAACCATTACTTAGAGTTCGGCCCGGACTGCCATATAATTTGCACATCGGCGTATGGAAAGACGTCACAACACGCGCCACGCGGCTGCCCTAGCAGCAGCAGCAGCTATTGCCGCTTCTTCCTCCTATAGTCCTGAACGTTCAGATGTGAGGAAAGAAGAAGAGGTACCCTTAAATGTGAATTCAGATAGTCCAGTTTTAGGGAAGATAATTATGAACAAAGGAGAAATGTACGAAAACTTCAAGTCCTGGGCCATGAAGACTTACGGAGACAGTGCCAAGACTAAGACTGTTACCCGCAAAAAGTACACGCGTATAATAAAAATCCTGAAAGGAGAAGAACACAGCAATGCCGAAAATTCTAAGTTTCGCTTCTGGGTGAAAGCCAAGGGTTTCAGGATTGGTCCTCCCCCAACCCAACGCATCGAAGGAGGACGTTCGGATCATCATCTATACGTCCCCTGTAACAAAGTATCAGTAAGTTAAACGCATTTTTTAAAGTTTTGCTTGTTTTGATTATTTAAATCCTACTATTTTCTTACTTGCATATATATTCTAAAAATTTTCCCTCCAGTTTGCACGTTGAATCTATGCGCCTGTCATTTGTGTTGATTGTTTAAAAAATCAGAAACTCTCCCTTAATCGTTACCTTATACACTGGTATGTTTGTTATACTGATATAGATGGAACAAACCAAACCACAGTATTTTCCATTTCTTGTCTGATTGGGTTTTTAGTAGCTTACATTTGGTAACGGTATCGCCACTAGTTAGTTTTATATTTGTACACAAGGTTTAAAGTTTCTAAACAAATGCATTTTTAGTCAAAGTTTATAATGGCTAAACACTGTGGGTTAATTCAGGTGAATTTATATAGGCACCACTATCAGTACCAAGAGACAGTCACGTAGCCATTACGGGCAGCCTATACAGTGGTGCTTTTCTTTATATAAGGTGAGCTACTACACATTTTAAACAGCAATGAAACAGTTTGTTTTGCTTCTTTTTAATTTCAAAGATTTGTGTGTGTGTGTGTGTGTGTGTGTTATTTTCAAGAAAAGTTATACCATAGTAGTTTAATTTTATGAAAATACATTTACACATAAGAAACAAGTTCGAGAAGCAAGTGACGTCATAATTTCATCACTTGACCGTCAGAACTACTGTCGACAGTTATCTAGACAGCTTGGTGAAGCCTTCAACTTAAGAGTTATTGATTTTATTTCTCAAACTTTTCTCGCTCAGCTGCAACATGTGGCCGTTTAGCGGGGGCTTCTCTGCACAGCTAGGTCTATGGACGTGATAGTCTCACTTCTAGGGACCATAAATGGCGGGTCCTTGTCAAATAGTTGCTAAAAGGAAGTATGGGAACAAAGTACGGCTGATATGGTTACCAGCATTATAATATATATGGTATTGCTACAGGTACTTATTCTTTCCTCGTGGAGACTTAGCTTTATACACGAAATAGCAACTAGCTTACAATACACACGCCGGTGTTGTGAAGCAGCGCAGCACATGGAAATTTAAATATATTTGAAAATTTATATGTATTTTTTTAGTTAAAATAGTTGTTTTTCAACTTGTATAGTAACTTTAACATGTGTTTTATAAGAATATAAATATATGTAATGAATAAACATGCGACAACTCTCTGATACTTCAGGGGTTTTATTTCCCTTCATAGTACGCTTTCAGTTACTATTGGAAAACATGAAATTCCAAAAGATAACGGCAGTGACAGTTTATATACGAACTAAAGTAACACTTTCCCTTGAGTCTTGTATTTAGCATGCTGACGTTAAGGCAACAACCTAAAATTCTAGCTATCCATTTCCAAAGAAGGAAGGGAAAAAAAGACAGGTTGACAAAAATCTATTGTCGTATTATACAGCTGTATTTTCAAATATCTGGAATACGTAACTGAATTTAATAATTTAGAAGGAGCACGTCAACAATTTTTATTGTTTGGATATAGCTTTATTTTATTAAACTTTTAAGGGATTCGAATATAAAGCCTCTAAAGTTGATTCTGCATCAAAAGTGAGTACGGTAAGAAAGGCAAATAACTTTAAATATGATAAAATGGCTTTACACTTGTATCTGTTACATTATGAATCACTCGGCAATAATCAATTCCCAATAATTGGATTAAATAAAACGTTATGCTGACTTTTTGTTGTAACAATAATCCATATCCTGGAATTCCAAGATCCACTAGTATTGATTTTAATGTTGTTTCTTGCGAATAAAAAAAGGTTCCCTTTTTCTTGTTCCTGTTTATCTAAACGCTTTTAGCTGTTTAAAACAACTGTTAATGAACGAGGTAAGAAGGGTTGTAACTCACTATTAGAAGAGACGAACTTTGCCCCATACTCCACTTTATCCACTAAAATTATACTCTCGATAATCAATAGGTTTTATTACAGTTCCATCCTTATCCTTTTGAAATAAAAATCGAACTGAGATACTGCTTGTAAAATCAAAATCTCTCTGCTCCCTGGGTTATACATAATTCAAAGAGAGATTAAGTTTCATATGATGTAAAATTCTATGTCATGTATAGAATTAATAGTAGGAAACACGATACAACACATAACTAAAATTTTCAGTACTTCAAAGCTTTGAATTGCATCTGTTTGAGATGTTTATACAACGCAGAACTTTAACTAGAAATACGTAAAACCCAATACCAAACTAATATGACGCTTCTTTCTTCCCACTTTTCATCATGTTCCTGTAAGCTGTTAAACGACGTCCAGAAGTAATAACACCTCAGAGCTCACAGGGCCAAATTGTACAATACGCTTAAAAATAGATAAAAATGTTTTGATACAAAATTCTTAAAATATTAACAAGGCGTAATCCACATAGATTTGGAGATTTTAGAGAGACAGGAGGTTCATTAAGTGCTCTTATTTATTTTAAAGGTAACGTCAAAAGATCGTGAATAACCAAATCTTTGGAAGGAATTGTAAATTAAAATGGAGCGAAAATCGACCGTTTGATTGTGAACAAGAAACTTCATGTTACGATCTTATTTAAACTGTCAGACTACAAGTCAGACATATGACTAAAACCAATGGATATTAATCTTGCTAAGCTTAATGTATAATACAATACACAAAAAAGTCATGCTTTTAGTAAGCTCAGCACTTAGGGTTTTCCCTAGCGTCTTTTGAACAGTGGCTTCGTTACGTCTATAATCCAAGGGTATTGTCAAATTGAGTTTTACCGCATCTAGCAGAACTTCTAATAGAGTCTAAAGTATAAAATGTGTATAGTAATACGCCCTGATGTGTACCTGGTTGCCATGACAACGAGGCTATCTCCATTAGGGAATTAGGCTCCCCCGAAGCTGAGTAGCGTCCGTGTTGAGCGCCACATCAAATGTAATGTATTGTTTAGGGGCTGCCCTTTGTGAACTTAGTGCAACTTTAGATTTTGAGGCATGCGTCTTTAGTATCTCCTTAAACCTGAACGCATTATAATTATCAAAAATACCTAAAGAAATGTCTCCATCGCATTTCAAAAAGGAAACATTCTTGTTTTTGTCAAAAATTCAGGAAAAAATAGTTTTATATACATAGAAATACGTTGTTTATTAATAACTTTAAAAAATAAAATAAATCACACAAAATACACATCTTACGAAATATTTGAACAAAATAGTTCTGATGTTGTATAGTCATTTATATAAACGTACTCCTGTAAATAAACATAGTTCTGAAGTTGTATAGTCCTTCATATAAACGTACTCCTGTAAATAAACATAGTTCTGAAGTTGTATAGTCCTTCATATGAACGTACTCCTGTAAATAAACATAGTTCTGAAGTTGTATAGTCCTTCATATAAACGTACTCTTGTAAATAAACATAGTTCTGAAGTTGTATAGTCCTTCATATAAACGTACTCTTGTAAATAAGCATGATTGGAAGATGTGTGTTCGCTCATACTTGTAAGCTCTTATACACAGGACGCAATTTTCAAAATATGTATTCTTTCATACAATCGTTTTAAAGCTGTGGTGCTTCAAACAAGCGTGTTCTTCGAAGCAGAACGCAGTTATAAAGATGTGGTGCTTCAAATAAGTGTGTTAATCTAAATAGAACACAATTTTAAATGTGGCATTTATTAAGAAAAGTGTGTTATAAGATACATATTCCTTCATACAAGCGTGTTTCGTAAATATATATAATTCTAAACTTGTGTTTAATGTAATATAAACGTGTTCTTGAACCCAGAACATAGTTCCAAAGATATGGTGTTACTTTGTACAATTATGTTCTCGCCAACAAACCAGATCTGAAAGTCATGTGTAGATTCACAAAAACGTATTTTGTGTACACACAACATGGATCTGAAGTTGTGTGATTATTCTATAGAAAGGTATTTTCGCAAACATATATAGATCCAAATTCTACTGCTGGGTTTTTCTTTATGAAAAAATTCCCAATAAACAAATACAGCTCTAGAAATGTGTGTTTCATTCATAAAAGCATGACTTGTAAATCAAAGTTTTAACATACGCCTACTGTTATACAAGCATGTTTTATAAACAAGATTTAGTTCTAAAAATGTGTTTATTTTTATATGTATTTTTAAAACAACACGGACAGTTCTAAATGTGTATTTCTTCATAATACCAATATTTTATAAACAAAATTCTGTGAAATAGTTCTGAAAGATTTAAAGTTGTCGTCTGTAGTAGTAGCAAGCTTTTATAAACAAAATTCTATTCTAAAGAGATGTTACCCCTAATACAAATGCATTATTAATTACTGAACTCAGCCTTGGGAAAGCGAGTTGCTTCAAACAAGCACGTTTATGTAAATTGACACAGTTCTAAAGTAGTGAGTTCCTTAAAATAAATGTTCTTCGCATGTAAAATGGATATGTAAAGTTATTTACCGTTATACAAACGTATTCTCACAAACAAACACACTTGTACGTTTACTGATGTGTGCTACTTCACTGAAAAATGCAGTGCAACAAACACATCTTTAAAGATCTGTATTTCTTCATACAAGCGTTTTCCTGTAATTAAGCACATGTCTAAAGATGTGTGTTATTTCAAACAACTTTTTCAGTAAACAAAGTTGTATGCCCTTCATATAAACGAATTCGTCTACATATATTTACTCTTTCATACAGTGTTTCTCCTGATAAATAGAGTTTTTAAGTTCTGTTTCTGCATATAAGTGTTTTATAAGCATAGAACATCGTTCTAAACGTATGTTCCTTCGTACGAATGTTTTTTTTTGTAAATAATTCTGAATTTCTAAATGTAAACATGTTTTTTCTACACAGAATGAAGTTCTAAACGTGTGTTCCTTCATTGAAGTGTGTCCCAAGGTTCTAAAGACATGTTTCTTTAAATAAGGATGATGTTGTAAACAACGCATTATTTCTTCGTACCAGCATCTTTTTGTTAACATGCACGTTCTAAAGTTTTGTGTTCCTTTATACATGCATCT